GGAGCCGCGGCTCCCCCCCTTTGTACACAGTGTTAAAATTTTAAAGCTTATTCTTGAGCCAATGCAAATTTTTTCCTGGGATCACTCAAAATGAATACTTCTAAAACATGTAAATATGCATCACAGGCCTAATAGAACACATAGGCCTAAGCGTGATTTTTAAAAATCTTAAATCCATAAAGTCACATTAAACTCCATTGAGTCGGCTCCACATGTATGTCTTAGTGACTGCTGTTTGTTTTTAGGATGTGATCTGGTTTTTCATGTCCATTTTTCGTGATTATGACTATTCTGGATAAAGAATGTTTTGAGTAGAGGTGGATTCAAGAAGGCCCCTTTCCCCCCCCCCAACTTAATTTTTTAAGGGAAAAAAAAAGAAAAATGTATTCAAATTGAAGTGCGAGAGTGTAATTTCCGGCCATCTATATATGCCCTAATCCTCAGCCTGTGAATGTCCCTCCCTGGTTCACCTCTCCTTCGAATTCCTGGATTTGCCACTGTTGATTTATTATATAATTATTTTTTGCGCTTTACTTATAATGCTTCTATTGGAATTTTCACTTTATCCTCTCAAACGTTCAGAGTGCGCTACTTCACAGGGAGATTCGCCCCTTGACCCCGCCGGGGTCCTACGTAATTCGCATAACGGCTCCCCCCTTTCAAAATCCTGGCTACGTCCCTGGTTATGACGCTCGCCTTGTCAGCGATAGGTCGCAGGTTTGAATCCTGTCTGAGGCATTTTAGAATACACAATGCATTTTTATAGGACTTTATTCGTTGAAAAGCTACAGGGTATATGTACCTTTGATCATTTATATATTATATTTATTCAACAGTGTTAACGGCTAGCTTCCTTCAATGTCATATATAATATATAATATATATTGCCAGATTTATCTGGCCGAACACCCTCTTGAGGCGTAGCATTGTGTAATACAATGTTCCTGACGGTTATTTGGACCTGTTCAACCATGAAGCCTTTGTTGTCTAATGGTTATGACGCTCGCCTTGTCAGCGAGAGGTCACAGGTCCAAATTCTGTCTGAGGAATTTTATTACACAATGACCTTTTATAGGACTTTATTCGTTGAAAGCTACAGGGTAGCCTACAATGCTCCATCATGTCCTTATTAAACACTAAACACAGTATATGTAACTGTGATCATTTATATTATACTTATTCAACAGTGTTAACCGCTAACTACCTTCAATATCATATATATATATATGTGAGGTCTCACCACGAAATGAGACGCATCATTGGTGAAATCATTTTGAGATAATCACCAAAATAGGCCAAAGTCAAAATTTTTACACAATTTTGATTTTAATGTTTTTTGATAACTTGATATTTATATTTAATGATTGTATACTTTTTAAGTGAATTTTCTTACTAAAACAGTGTTTTTGCGCATATTCTGTAATTCTAGTCCTATTATTTGTACAGGTTAGTTTATCTTGGAGGCCGATTTTCTCAAAATGTGGTTCTTTTACACATAATATTTAAATGCTCACATCTCTGGATCTACATATCCTAGTGAAGCCATTCAAAGACCAAATTAAAGCCTATAATGTGATCTAATGTTACGGTGCATTTGATTTCTATCAACTAATATCAACTGTTTTGTATTGTGTATTTCATGCTCTAACTTTTGAGGAAAAGTGGAGCATCTAGAATCTTTGTCAGGTTTTAAGCATGTTTGGTACTGGTACTCATTATCACTCATGATTATCAAATCATTTTATGAAGATCCTAAAAAAAAGTTCAATCTGCTAACCAGTGGCAGCACCAGCATCTATTGTATCAGTTTTAAGATGTGTATAAGAGACAGGTGCAAGTGAGGGTAAAGGTAACATTTTAGGGGGTGAAAAGTCGGACCTACATGCTGCGATTGTCACATGACTCAAGCATGTATGTTACAAGTTTAAAATAATTATGGTTGCTATTTTAATACATAGTAATAGAAATTATATTAAAATAGCCGCCATTATTATTTTTATTATTGTTATTATTATCTGATTGGTTGACTACTGTTTATTTTAATCAACTATATTTTTAAGTACAGTATATCAAGCGACCAAACAATTTATATTTGTATTTAGGCCAAACAATTTGTATCAGCTATCTGATCACACATAAACTATTAGTTATCTAACTACATACTTTTTTCTTGATGCTATATATATGCCAAAATGTACTATGCAAGATCTTTTGTATGTTCAGTACACATTGAAGAAGGTTGCAGGGACGACCAGAATATATGTGCTCAAATAAAATATATGTATGTTCCAGAAAGTCAACCCTTGTTTTCTGTCACTTGTGATAGTCACAGTACATATACTTAATAGGACTCGAACATACATGCCCACGCGCTTTGAATAAAAGGCCCCCTCCCGAGCCACATTTGGAATAAATGCCTCCCTTGAATAATCGCAAACCCCCACAAGGCATTTATTTGAGGCAAAAATGACTGATAAACAAGTCTAAATTGAAGCAACTCATTCTATTTAATGTTGTACTGTACTCAGCCCACCGCCATTCCCTTAATATATAAAATAATTCCTCCAAAATATGTTTCTACTTTCCAACTACCAACAACAATCTACTTTAAAAAAAATTACACTTATAACACGAAAGTTTCATTTAGATGAGTTGATTTGTTTTTGAGCTATCTGATCTGCAACATTTTGCTTTGAATGGTCCTAATATTGACACCAAAATACTGTATAATCACTTCATTTAACTGCTTCATTTTTTGAACGCCTTTTATTGTATCAGTTTTACACCTGCCAATTCCTTACATCTTCTGGCTTAACATACTGGTTTAACTCTGTGCAGCCATTTTTGAGATATGTCGCACACAAAAACACCAAAACGTTACACACCCACACAATCTTACATGACTGATGTAAACATACTTTATCTCCTGGCAGAGATAATAACAATAATTATTATATATTGCTCCTCATTCAAATCAGAAATTGGAATTCTGGGCTGGGCCCCTGAGGACCCGCGGCAGCCGCAGTACAGTGCCACTCTCAATTTGAGGGTTATTCGAGGAGCCAAGCAATCAATTCAACTGGGGTCTTCAGCACAAGAAGCAGGAACAATACCTCAGCGAAGTGCTTAGTTTTTAATTTTCCTAACAACAAACTAGTTAAATCACCCTCATGTAAATTTAAACCACTCTCAAAAGATTCTTTAGGAAACTTTATGTATACCTTTAATAGTTCCACAGCAGGCTTGGCGCTAATTAATACTTTTGAAACATTTCTAAAGCTATTAGGGGTGATCCCAACACTATCGTACTTTGTGTACCAAAGTACACTGCAGTACATGCAGCACTTTGCAGCTCTCTTGTTAATTAGGTTTGTGTGGTCATGTTCACTGAAGCATTAAAATGTTAATGAAATTGAGTCAGCAAGCTGAAACGACCCCTCCCCCCGCAACAACGATAATTGAGGAAACTGCATACCCGTGTAGATATATACAGTGAGTATCTTTATTATTATTAATATCATCAATATCATCCTTATCATTGCTTAATTTAAGACTGTCCCTTCGCAGCAATATACGTTAACACTTAGGCAATTATATTCATGTCAAGATCCAAGCTCATAATTTATTGTCTCCACAGATCTTATCTATGCCTGAGAAGTATGTGGATTGGTCATGTACTTTTACATGAATAGAATCTCTAATTTAGATTAATAGTCAATTTAATAAATTATTATTAATGGTTTATGTATGTATTTCGGTATACATCCTCAAGCTGTAATAGATAATATTATGTGGATTGTTCAAGCACTTTTACACGAATAGAGTCTCTAATTTAGATTAGTAGTCAATCTAATGAATATATTCGATAAGCCTACAGTACAGTATATTACGCTTATGTGGCTTGAGAGTCATGCAAGTCAGGCAAAAAGGACAATTTTAGCAAACAAACAATATCGAATGGTGAAATATTGGTCTGCCAAAACCTGACCAGCCGGACCGCTTCCTGCGGCCTTGATAGCAGTATAA